TCCTGCCCCAGTGCCGGTATCCCTTCAGGAAGATGCCCAGGGACGGCAAGTTTGCAAGATAACTTCCTAGGCGAACCTTAAGCTAGGAAGAACACTGGGAAAGGAAGGATGATCTGAACAAGGTTAAATTCACCGCCAGGGACCAGAAAGGAGAGAAGGACCAGAATTACTGTATCTATCACTGGGGTCTAAAATGAGATCCCTGTCTTTCCTATCACCTAATTCCTCTCAACTGTAGGAAAAGTAGTAGTCAATTAATCCTATTTAGTGGCAGGCACTTTGTAGATGACCATCTGTGAGGTAAATTTGTAATTTATTATAATGTGTGTGTGTGTGTATCTGTATATGCCCCTATTTCACAAATGGCCAAGTGAAGGGTGGTCTACATAGTCCGCACAACACCTGCTCTAATACTAGAGGATCCCAATATCTTTGGGAGCCCACATGACTCCTGTAGCTTCTCATAGCCATGCCATTGCGCAGCCTCTGGCACTGGGAAGGACTAAGACTGAGATTATTACTGCTGAGACCCGGTAGCAAACAGGGACAAACAGGTAATTCCTTAAAAGTAAGGCCTGCGGTGTGAGGCAAAAGGTAGGACTTAGGTCAGACCACCTCTAATTTGGGAAGCTCAAGGCCTAGAATCATCTTGGGGTCACAAGGTCAATGTGCAGAAACTGGAGCTGGGGTGCAGAACATAGAGAACTCTGATGGGGCGATGGACAGACTGCAACACCTCGGGAAACTTTTCACGCTTGCCCAACACAGAATTGACCGACCGGAATTGGATGAGAAAATTGAGGCCATTTTGGCGAGAAGAATTTGAGCTCTACGCAGCACCTTTCCAAGGAGTCCTAGAGGGGCCAAGACCAGGGCCGCCGTGACGTCAGGCTCCTGACCCGGCGCTTGCTGGCCGCAGCTTACATCTGTCGGCTCCTGGGTCGCTCCAAGCAGGGCGCGGCGCGCTCCCTGGGGCAGGCTGTGGGAGGCCGGCGCGCTCCCAGCACCTCGCCGCGCCCCTCACCGAAGCCAGAGAATGTGGCGACCGACCGACCGTTCCCCTCGCCGCAAATGTTTACCAACAGTGCAAACTTCATTCTCTACATGCTGGCAGACGAGGGTAATGAAACGAATGATTCCTTGGAGCTTTTAAATTCCCTGACACTTCTTTGCAAAATAGAGCAAGTATCTCAAGTGCAAAAACCCAGAAGCAGCAAATATCTTTGCATCCTGAAATGAGAGGACGATCTATATTGACTTTTGAAGAGTAACTGGAGTACAGCGCTCAAGGAATAAAAACATCATCATTGAACCAGAATACAAATAAGCTCCCTCTAGACCCGCACACAGAAAATGAACTCTCTGCCCTGAGAAATCTTGTCTTTTTTTTTTTCCTTAATTATCTGCCTTTCCAAAGAGAAGTCTTAGTCAAAATAAGAAAGTCAAGTCCGTTATTTCCTAAGGGCCACAGGGGCAAAAAAACACATTCAACCTGAAAACAAGAATTGTAAAACTGGAGTGTGGTGAGAAGAGGTTATCCCTGGATGGTATCAGAGGTGAGGTTTCCAAAAAAGTTTTTAAAAAGCAAATAACTATGAAAGACACAACATTAATTCTTTGGTTTGAGCAATTTCCTTTTCTTTGGAAAGCTCCTTCCACAGCAGCTTACACTACAACTCCGGAGGCTGTGTACCTTTTGGACTTTCTCCATATTTTCACAGTAAAGGTCAAGAGTATCTCCCCCTTCTATTTTAGGGGCTCCACCTCATAGAGGAGCTTCCTAAGGAAATCCACCAGGCCATCTTCCAAATGAAGATTAGGAAAAGAAAGAAAAGAAAAGAAGACTAAGTCACCCACCCATCACCAACCTCACTTGTGGCTGTCCTGAAAAGCAGCCTTTGCTCTGAAAGCAAGGAAAAGCAGCATAAAAAAACAGTGAGATGCAAATGATTTTCAGGCAGTAATGGGGGGTGGGTAAGAGGTGGAGAGAATTGGAGAATGTTAACTCAAGTCTCTGTTACTGCTCACGTAAAGGAAACTCCATCCACAAAGCAAAATATGAGGACCTGTTTTGCAGAAATTTTCCAAGAGTAAGAAGTAAGAGGGGGAGGGTTGTAAAAGGCTCATTTAATTACAACAAATAAATAAATAATCTGTTAGTGCCAGCTAACAGATCAAACCACAGTCAAACTTCAATCTCAAAGCAGTTAGCTATAAACTGTTAGCAGTTGAAAAATAAACCTTGTGCACACAAAGGCACTGTTTAATTTTCTTTTTGTAAAGGTTCTAAATGAAGACCCATCACAGGTTAGCAGTATTTCTCGCCCTCCTAGGACACTGATCAGTTGTTTTTAATGTGAGAAAACTGGCAGCTCAAGACCGGTCAATGGAGCTCCAATAACAAAAGTTCTGAAAAGCTGAATGAATTGGATTTGTAATTACTGCATCCTGTCCCCCCTCCCACCCCTTGTAGCTTATCTCTTATTCATTCACCTTATATTATTGTCAAGGAATCTTACTCTCCAAGTCTTTGCTTTACCATTTCACTTAGGGCCAGGAAGGAACTTATGACTCGGCAGAAATAGAACTCACCCCCCATTGCACCTAGAAATGTTCAGACCAATAGATAGGTCGGGAAGTAGGACTATTTTGAAACTACTGGAACTCAAGAGTGTTCAGCCTGTGGAAACTTCCGTTTTAGAGCCTGAATTTTATTGGCAAACAGTAATGTGTATCCTTTCTAAATACAGAGGCTGTTTGAGTATCTAAAATCCTGTGATATTTCCATTTAGAAAAGGCAAAGGTTATAAATATTTCCTCTTCCCTTTCCCCAAATGACAAGGCACTAGAACTTGCCAGGCATGATGTAAAAATTAAGATAACTTATAATGTTCTTACTTTTCTCTTGTAAGCCAAAACAGTAAATAAAATAGAAAAAGATTATAATTCCAATCCTCCTCCAAGTTCAGGAAAAGGTTTTAAGAAAAAGTCAGCTTTATGATGCCAGGGAGGGCTCTGTGTGTATTTCAATCCAAGGCATTGCTGATGGAGTAGATTCTCCTGAGATTTCCTACTGTAAGAATGTGTCGGTTCTAGAAATAAGTACAGCTATTACAACCAAATCTACTAGCAGACTAAATAATTAATTGAAGCATTGCTCTTTGACCCTTGAAAAGTCCAGTAGGGACACGTTTATAGTAATAATACCTCCGAATGAGCCCTTGTCAAATATTCATTTAGTGGTTAATGTGAGCCATTTTCCCCTGGGACCGTCTGTAATACCAGCTTCCCAGCATTGGCAAGAAACCTTGCTAATCTACTACTGCTCAGCAAAATATTTTAACGCTCTTTATTTAAAGAGTGTGTATATGGGGGGTTGGTTGGGGAGAGAAAAAAATTTCAGCAGAAACAAACTACAATCTCATCCTTCTACACATTTCTATTTCTGTATATAAGGTTATAATGCATTACATTCACCCTCTTTGACTAGAAATTGAGTAGTTTTAGTGAGCATAGTAATATCCAGTGTAAAGTACACTCAACTAATTCCAGTACCAGAAGATAACTATTTTCTGGCCACGTTTATGGGTTTATCCCCTTCTTAGAAATCTGATTATATTATGTTCAGTATTAATTTAGCCATGAAACTATACATCTCAGGAAACAGTTTAACCCAATCAAATGAATGATGAAATATGTATAATTTTCCTCAAATGCAGTTTACTAAAAGAATTTATGTTTGCAACCAAAATATTTTGGTTCTTGTTTAGTTAGGAGCTATGGAAGGACAGGGGGGAAATGGGAGTTCTTTTGTTTTATATAGTTAGTGACAATCATTCAGAACAAGTTCAACTTCCCCAAATAATCTTTTCTTCCCTTTTGTAAACTATTTGAACCTGAGTATTTGCCAAAGTTGATGCTTCCAAAATCTGATCTTGTGGACCCTTCCCCCCCACCCCCAAGGAGGTTAATGCAGTGTAATTACACTAACCCCAGTACATATTTCTCACATATCTATTTTTTTCAAACATATACACTCCATATACTTGATTGACTCAAATTCCGGGAATATCCTCCCCACCCCCCAGCAAGATCATTTGGATCTTTATTCAAAGTTTCTTTTATTCGTATGTGTGAGCAAGAACTGGCGAATGTGCTCATTACCACGTGAATAATCCGTATATGCATTACAATGGATGGCCAGGCCCGGGGAAATTCTTTTAGAGTCTCTGCATTAATTAGGAGGGGCGGGAGGGGAGGGGGGGGAGAGAGAAATGCCTTGCTTAGAACTGGGAACCGGTATAACTGTCCTTTCCCCCCGTACAATATTACTCTAAAATGAGGATTAAAATGAACAAATAAAATCCTACACACACCTAAATTTTTTTTAAAAACCCATGTAAAATAAAAATACAGACGATATGAGATCTCCACAACTGAGCCAATTACTAACATTGACAACACCAGGAGCAAGCCTTCCTTGAAAAAAGAGACGCTGCGAACTAACTTAGTGGCTGAAGCCGGTACTTTAGTCAAGAGTGGAAGACACTGACGGACTTCAACTTCTCCAAAGTTGAAGTAAGTTGACACAACGAACCCTTGAAACTGTGGGAAGCAAACACACGCTCTTATAAACGTCCGACCCTAGGCTCCCGGTCCCCTTCGGTAGGGGAAAGACGAGCAAGATTGTAGTAAATAAGGAAGAAAAGTCCCAGAGTCTGCCTTACAGATTCTCTGGCTGCGCCCGGCGCGGGTCGGGGTAAGATGTTGAAACATCTCAAATTCAAAGACCAAGACGAAACCCAAACTTTTCAGCTCCCAATGAGGACAAGTATCGTCTTTCTTTACCTTTTCCAGGGCAAAAGAAGACAACAAATGCAATCTTTTCCCGTACTCCATACTCCCGCCTACTTTTCTACTACAGTAGTAAAACATTGTTAACAGATCAAAAACATAATCATCTTCAAATGTGATTAGACCGGACAAAGTAAAATATCTACCTCAGAGTTGATTGTTTTCTTCTTTAATATGGCTGTTGCCTGGCTTCTCTTTTGCTTGTTATCAGCTGCAGAGATTATCCGATTTGGGGCTACAGGCTTGGACCGTGCTGCCAATTTAAGAAATGGAATTCGTGGAAGGAGAGAGAGGAAAAAAAGAAAATAAATAATAATAATAATAGCCGTGATAAGTCGGGGAATTTTTGCAAGATGCTCTTAGCTTTCCCTCGCCCCCTAAACAGAAAAATGTAGAAGAGAAAGTTTATAAAGTCAAGGAACAAAGAAAGCAAACCACTTGTTTCCTTTCAGACAATAGCAGGGCCTGAGTAATCCAAACACCCACCAAGCAGATGAGCTTTGCAAGTCTCGTTTGCAATTATTCCAACACAAGAAGCATCATTTCCCCTTATAACAAGGTTTCCAAAGGGCCTTTGTACTGTGAAAAAAACGAAAACAAAACCAGCCAACCTGGTTCTGATTGGGCTCAACACCCCATCTGCTAAGCTACACGAAAAATTTCAGAATTGACTCCTTTCTGGCAACAAGTGGTATAAATCAGTTAAAGTCCCCATCATGCTTATTCATGCTACTTAGAAAAAGAGGGGGCGGATTCACAATCTATGTCTCTAGTTTCTATTTTAGAAATGACATAAGCATTTCAATTTTTTGCGTACTTATTCAATTAATCATACAGCTATTTATTTGTTGCAGTTAACATCACCATATGCTGCTGGGGTAAAATACCAAAGTTGTAGGTATTTTACTGTCTTGACTCAGCACAGAATATTCCCCAAAGAGTTATGCATAACAGTATTATCCAAATAAATGAAAGACTCAAGCATAATTTCGGTGTCCATATTTCAAAAATTTATTTATCTCAAACTGTGCATAATGGAGTAAAAACTTAAGTTGAAAATGTACCTGTTATAAGGATGGTATTAGTTCAAATATATACATGGATTCTCGGCAGACTGATTCAAATAATACAGAGCCGAATCTTTAAAATACAACTACGGAAAATAAAGGGGGGGGGACCTTAAAATATCACAATAAATTTACAGAAATATTACAAACCATAAGAAAATATTTCAAACACAGTAATTTCATGTTTTTTTTTTATCTGAACAAAATGGAAAGTTGGGAAACAAAAGCTATTATAAATTACCAATGATGTCCACCTGCATGGCCATTTTTGCTTTTAACAGTAAGTTAAAAAATTTAGTACAATCTAAAACTTTTGCCCCTTTAAAAGAAGACCACGGAGATGGTTTTGCCAGTACTTAATTCTAATTTTTCCTTTTGTACAATTTTTAAACAAGTAAAATGTCCAAATCTGTATAATTTTCTTCATTCCACGTTTGTAACTGTCCTAAATTTTAGCTGCAGAATCAAAATTCAGCAAGAAGACTCTCTGAAAAATATTGGCAAATTCTCAGCTTATAAACAATGGACATTTTGATTGCCATGTTTATCTCGATAAATACTGTACAAAAGTTGCTTGCAAATATTAAAACATTTTTTTCGTCGCTTGGAGACTAGCTCTAAATATTATTGGTAAAGACTTTTTGCAAACTTTCTGCAAAGCTCCTACCTTATCACTAGAACTTTTAAAAAGTTTTGCGTAGTTTTCTTTCCTCCAGATCTATACAAGGTCCATTCCCTTGCCCTCCCCCTCCCCCCGTTTTCTCTGTACAAAAATAGTCCCCCCAAAAGAAGTCCAGGATCTCTCATAAAAGTTTTCTTGTCAGAATCGCTGTTTTTGCGTGTGGACGGGATTGGTATTCTCTTTTGCAGCTGTCATTTGCTGTGGTGATGACTTTTTTTTTAAGCGTACCGGGTTTTTCTCCATGCTATTTCCTTAATCGCCTCCCATTTCCCTCATTTTTCTTTGAAAATCCCCCCCCCCTCCAGTTTACTGTCCGGCCCTCACATGTGCGAGAGGGGCAGTGTGCCGTTGATGGCCGTGCCGGGCACCGGGCCGCTCTGGTAGTGCTGGGACATATGAAGTCTGCTGGGGGCTGCGGGCTCCGGCACCTCGGCGCCGGGGAGGTACATGCTGATCATGTCCCGGAGGTCCCCGGCCTGGCAGGGCGCCCTGGAGTGGGAGGAAGAGGTAACCACAGGGGGGCTGGAGCTGGCCTCAGACTTGACCACCGAGCCCATGGAGCCAAGCGCCATGCCAGGAGTGCCCTGCTGCGAATAGGACATGCTGTAGGTGGGCGACCCGTTCATGTAGGTCTGCGAGCTGGTCATGGAGTTGTACTGCAGGGCGCTCACGTCGTAGCGGTGCATGGGCTGCATCTGAGCGGCGCCGTGAGCGTTGAGGCCGGGGTGCTGCGGGTAGCCTAGTTGGTCCTGCATCATGCTGTAACTGCCGTTGCTCCAGCCGTTCATGTGCGCGTAGCTGTCCATGCGCTGATTCACGCCCGCGCCGAGGCCCGCGCCCACCCCGACCCCGCTCGCCATGCTGTTGCCGCCGGGGGCCAGCAACCCGCCCGGCAGCGTGTACTTATCCTTCTTCATGAGCGTCTTGGTTTTCCGCCGGGGCCGGTATTTATAATCCGGGTGCTCCTTCATGTGTAGCGCTCGCAGCCGCTTGGCCTCGTCGATGAACGGCCGCTTCTCCGTCTCGGACAAAAGTTTCCACTCCGCGCCCAGACGCTTGCTGATCTCGGAGTTGTGCATCTTGGGGTTCTCTTGGGCCATCTTGCGCCGCTGCCCGCGGGACCACACCATGAAGGCGTTCATGGGCCGCTTGACGCGGTCCGGGCTGTTCTTCTGGTTGCCGCCCGCCGCCGCGGCTGTGGAGTTGCCGCCGCCGCCGCCGCCGCCCCCCGAAGTTTGCTGCGGGCCCGGCGGCTTCAGCTCCGTCTCCATCATGTTGTACATGCGGGCGCTGTGCGCGGGC